TAACATGTAGTGGTGGTCCCCCATGTAACATGTAGTGATGGTCCCCCATGTAACATGTAGTGATGAGACACCATGTAACATGTAGTGATGGTCATCCATGTAACATGTAGTGATGGGACACCATGTAACATGTAGTGATGGTCAATCATGTATCATGTAGTGGTGGTCCCCCATGTAACATGTAGTGATGGTCCCCCATTTAACATGTATTGGTGGTCCACCATATAACATTGTAGTGATGGTCCAGCATGTAACATGCAGTGGTGGTCCACCATGTAACATGTAGTGGTGGTCCCCCATGTAACATGTAGTGATGGTCCACCATGTAACATGTAGTGATGGTCCACCATGTAACATGTAGAGATGGTCCTCCATGTAACATGTAGTGATGGTCCCCCATGTAACATGTAGTGATGGTCCACCATGTAACATGTAGTGATGGTCCTCCATGTAACATGTAGTAGTAGTTCCCCCTGTAACATGTAGTGATGGTCCAACATGTAACATGTAGTGGTGGTCCACCATGTAACATGTAGTGGTGGTCCCCCATGTAACATTTAGTGATGGTCCCCCATGTAACATGTAGTGGTGGTCACCATGTAACATGTAGTGATGGTCCCCCATGTAACATGTAGTGATGGTCCCCATGTAACCTGCAGTGGTAGTCCTCCATGTAACATGTAGTGATGGTCCCCCATGTAACATGTAGTGATGGTCCCCCATGTAACATGTAGTGATGGTCCACCATGTAACATGAAGTGATGGTCCACCATGTAACATGAAGTGATTGTCCACCATGTAACATGTAGTGGTGGTCCCCCATGTAACATGTAGTGGTGGTCCCCCATGTAACATGAAGTGATTGTCCACCATGTATCATGTAGTGGTGGTCCCCCATGTAACATGTAGTGATGGTCCCCCATGTAACATGAAGTGATGGTCCACCATGTAACATGTAGTGATGGTCCCCCATGTAACATGAAGTGTTGTTCCCCCATATATCATATAGTGATTGTCCCCCATGTATCATGTAGTGATGGTCCCCCATGTATCATGTAGTGATGGTCCCCCATGTAACATGTAGTGGGGGCCCCCCATGTAACATGAAGTGATGGTCCACCATGTAACATGTAGTGGTGGTCCCCCATGTAACATGAAGTGATTGTCCACCATGTAACATGTAGTGGTGGTCCCCCATGTAACATGAAGTGATGGTCCACCATGTATCATTTAGTGATAGTCCCCCATGTAACATGTAGTGATGTTCCCCCATGTAACATGGTCCCCATGTATCATGTAGTGATGGTCCCCCATGTAACATGTAGTGGTGGCCCCCCATGTAACATGAAGTGATGGTCCACCATGTATCATGTAGTGATAGTCCCCCATGTAACATGTAGTGATGTTCCCCCATGTAACATGTAGTGATGGTCCCCCATGTATCATGTAGTGATGGTCCCCCATGTAACATGTAGTGGTGGTCCTCCATGTAAAACATGTAGTGGTTCCTGTTGGTAAGATGTAGTGGTGGTCCCCCATGTAACATGTAGTGGTGGTCCTCCATGTAACATGTAGTGATGGTCCCCCATGTAACATGTAGTGGTGGTCCCCCATGTAACATGAAGTGATGGTCCCCCATGTATCATGTAGTGATCGTCCCCCATGTATCATGTAGTGATGGTCCCCCATGTAACATGTAGTGTTGGTCCCCCATGTAACATGTAGTGGTGGTCCCCCATGTAACATGCAGTGATGGTCCCCCATGTAACATGTAGTGATGGTCCCTCATGTATCATGTAGTGATGGTCCCCAATGTAACATATAGTGATGGTCCCCAATGTAACATGCAGAGATGGTCCCCCATGTAACCTGTAGTGATGGTCCCCCGTGTAACATGTAGTGATGGTCCCCCATGTAACATGTAGTGTTGGTCCCCCATGTAACATGTAGTGATGGTCCCCCGTGTAACATGTAGTGATGGTCCCCCATGTAACATGTAGTGATGGTCCACCATTAACATGTAGTGATGGTCCTCCATGTAACATGTAGTGATGGTCCCCCTAGTTACATATAGTGATGGTCCCTCGTGTATCATTTAGAGATGGTCCCCCATGTATCATGTAGTAATGCTCCCCATGTAACATGTAGTGATGGTCCCCCTAGATACACGAGTGATGATCCCTTGTGTATCATTTAGTGATGGTCCCCATTTAACATGTAGTGATGGTCCCATGGTAAAAAAATTGAATGTATTGTTGATCATATGTCGGTTTTCCTTACGTTTATTAAACAATGGTTTCTTGTATTCTTATTCTTGATTAAATTGTGTCTCCTAAATGTATGACTCTTGACTATTTTGGTTGAAATCTGTCTACGTGAGCATCGTTTGAATGATTGACGCGTCCGTATGTATCTTCTGCACGATTTAGCCAAACAAAATAGTCAAACACTCCCTGCCTTAAATGCATTTACACGTAATGAATTTTAGAAGAATCCCTGTAGGATCATAGTTTTTCCCGTACCATTTTAAGAACAGTTTCCACAATATCTAATACATAAACTAGATGTGTCGACATTTGACAGCTTAGAGCAAAGTTTTCGTCTGCTCTATGATCACAAAAAAGTAGCAAATTTATCAACTTGGTATGTTCTTACAAAAGAACATCACTTCCAGATGAATTTGAAAATGTCCTGCATATTCATATTTTTGTGTCATTAGCATTCCTAACGACCGGAAATAGAGCAAAAACAAAAGGTCATATATATTGTGTCTGTTACTTGTATCACAGGGACCTGCTAATCTGCTATGTAGCGTGTACTTGATTTTCTCCCGATGTGATGTACCATTGCAAGACGTTAATGCATCAACATTCGGTAAAACGCACTAAATACCCCAACTGGGATTATGTCAACATTTCTCATGTCCCTGTGACTTGCATTAATGTCAAAGTTTACAACAACAAAAAAACAAACATAAATGAATGTACAATATTGTCTTGCTAAACCCATGTTGTTCAGCACACATCTTCAATTAGACATATTTCAGTCAGCATCCTCCCCAAACATTTCTCTCTTTTTATCTTTTAAGAAGTGTTTCTTTATTTTCCAAAGTTTTTTCACATTCGAAATGCATTCATACAATGTATATCACGAGTATTATATAAATAACTGAACATATCACACAATAAATTATGTTTCCCCTCCATTCATTCTATTACCTTTAAATTGATTTATAGAGAAAAACGAGGAAAAGAAAGGTGGCGGAGAACACTATTGAACTGATTGACAAAAAAACCTGATACAGAGTGGCGATTTAATCGATATGGTTATGTATTTAAGATTGATTAAAATATTTTGTTCTGTGTTTTCGAATTCGAATCGTCTGTCTGTATATCAACATAAAATAAATCTCGCCACTTTCCAATACACAACCCTGATTTGATATTGTTATTGGCAGTACTAAACCCTATAGTGTACTATATAGAGAGGCGGAATCCCAAACGTATTCCAACTTCTCGAATGTTCACACCTCATATAACAAACTAGCACCTTTACTTTACCCAATAGTAATCCAAGCGCGAGCTAAAGTATAACATGTCACTTAAAATGCACCTTTTATTTCCATGAGAAAATCATTATACCGAGTATTTTCTTTGCCGTTGTATGATAAGCAAATGTCGAAATATTGAATTATGGGAAATATATTTCAGTATTTGTAACTTTCTCTTGCGACTTTCATGACACGATTTCACTTTAACAACTCAAGATTTTCTTCCTTTGAAAGTATCTGGTGGAACTTAGGGGAAAACGCAAGTTAAGGCAATTTCCCTTAATTACAGTTTCAAATAGAAAAAACACTATAGTTAGCAACATTCTTGAAGTTGACGCAAACCATTTATCTTTAATACTGTCTTACTAATTTCAATTTGCGCATTCATGTTCTAGGACAGCTATCATGTGTGACAACGAAGCGTTCAGTTACGGCGGGGACCACCGCGGTCAACCCAGGGGCATCTTATATACTCCTAAACCGGGAGTGTTCATAGTCCAGGAAAATGTAGCGTATCAAAATAAAACCATGGCAACCAGGGTTGATGTTACCAAGGCAACCCATAAAGATTCCTCAAATGCTACGGCGACCAATTACAAGGCAATTACAGGCAAAGGTGATGTTACTGTGACAACGGAAAATTCAGGAATATCGCAGGAAGGCGGGGACACAAAAGGTAAGGGTTTTTACCATTTTTACACATGGACATATATATATTTAAAAAATTGATTTATATTTTCAACCATTAATTTTGAACAGAGTTAGCGGAATTCGTGTCTTATCATATAATTTTTAACTCCATCGGTTGCACGCGTGCTAAGCCCTCTTTTAGGGGAGTATATGATCTATGATCATGTTCATCTGTTCAAACTCTAATAGTTACTAACCCCTCGACTCAAACATCACAACCCTCGTTTCCAGGGTCAAGTTCTTTATTAACTTTAAAGGGGCATCACGGTGAAGTAACTTTATTTTTTGTCTTTTTTTCAACTACTACATAAACATATCAAGTGAGACTCCTTATGGAAAATAACGATCGGATTTGGCTGAAATAGATTCATAAAAATGATGAAATCTAAGAAAATCATCGGTATTTCTACCTGTCTGACCAACGTTTTGTTCAGGGATTTCCCTTTACTAGCGCATGCGCATAGCACACCATTTCTCTCTGGCCGTGTGAAGTAAGCGAAAGAAAAGTGTTGTACCGTGTCAGCTACGAAACGAAAAGTTGCCAAATGGTCAAAAGATAGCGCAAGGAGTACGTTACGGAATCATTATTGCAGGTGGGCAGTATTCAAAGGAGAAAATAACTGCCGTAGCAGTTAGTACGGTGCATGTATTCTTCCGGATAGCCGGTTAAGCTGAAATGGAATCGACAGAAATGCTAGCGCTGTTTATGTTATGAATAAATATCTAAAACTATTAAGCTCGCTAGTATCTTTGTCTGAGTTTGAACACAGATGAACTTAGTTTAATATGTTAATGGGCATGTATTGGAGAGAGTTTACTTTGTGTTTCTATAATTATACAGTGGTTTATGCGAAAGGAAGGGATAAGTGACTGGTTAGTTTGATTTTTCCATGAGGCCCTCCAAGGGATAACTGTTGTGATGGCCCACGGCGTATTTTCTGGGTCACCGAGATACGTGTTATCGAAGTCCGTGGATTTACATAATTTATAATATTACCGGGTTCAATAAAATGGTATGATTTAATTATATTGCTGAATTAAACGATTATTTTTGTTTTTACATGCAAGATTTAAATTAGTACTAATATGAATACCCGGCCTCCTCTGCCCCGGCAACATATAAAAAAAATCAGAAAGGTTTGTCCCTTGGTGTAGGGAAGGTGTTTAGCCCCGTACCATCTGTACCGGCCACATTCCGGTACTAAATTCAATATATATTTAAATATATCTACTTTATGTTTATGCCTATTATCATTGTTGACATTTAATTGTAAATGTATGACGGGAGAAGGCTGTGAAAACTTGTGCCCCATCCCTTGTTTAATTTTATTGGCAACACATTTATGTTTAAAGCTAAATAAATTTAAATTCTGAATATTGGCAAGTGTGCAATTAACTTCTAATGATGAATAATTACTGTTCAATAAGTTTGAATACGGACTTAGAAATCATATAACTTGGTTTCATAGTGCGGTAAGAAGTTGCAGTTGCCTGACGGCCCCTCTCTGGGGGCCCCTTTGGAAACCGTTTCCTGCCTAGTCAGGTGACGTTATCGGCACTATTTTTAGCAGGGCTTTCCCGAACAATTCAAGTGGTCAAACTGGACATTAGGAACGGACTATGAATATGGGGATAGTGAGGTAACATAAGTGGAAGTGCATACAATACATACATTCATTAAAAAAAAACACGCCTTTTCACGTGATGTCCCTTTAAGTCTTGCGACTTATCAGTGTAAACATATATTAAACAGGAGGGTCAAATCCCCCGACTCCAAGGTAACGCTCCTCGACCCCAAGGTCAACGTCATCAGCAGAGAATGTAATGTTATAAACACTGTTTGGGTCAATAGGTATTAAGATTACTTAGTTAGCATTATTAGTGTAAGTACATCCCTGATAGTACACCGTACGATATAAGCCTATTACACATGTAGTAATACATGTTTTGCGTGATGTTTTCTATGTCCAATTTAGTTCATATAATTGTTTGTGCAGATAGAGCCAAACAGGGACACGCTGTTTTGTATTTGTGTCGTTAGTTCCTAGTACCTTTGGGATGTGTGAAGAGACATTGATTTGGGTACCTAGGAAACATGTCTTCGTATGGAGAATACTGTTTTTAGTTCGAATTCAGAAGTAGGTAAGTCAACCCAAAAGAGTCTGATGGTTTTTCCCGTAGATCTGTGTGGTTATGACTTGTACAAACAGAATTATGATTTCTTCATAAAAATAGCTCACTGGACTTACAACATGTCAATCTCTTTTGCGATCGATCATGCAGAGCTTTATTTCTCTTCTACTAGCTGTTGGGTGGAGTACCGACCTCAAATAAAGATAAATGTGGCCATGCGATACCACTGAAATCATAGTAAAATCCCCTGGTAACACATTTAAGCTATACATAAACACGGAATTAGATTAGAGGGAAAGGCAACTGCCTCTTCGGCATAGAAAATATGTCTGGTGCACTTTGATGTTGCGAGAAACTGCAAGAAAGAGCGAGAATTTACGTGATTTTGGAGAAGAAAAAAACGCCGCTTCAATCATCGTAGAAATGTATTGCCTTTGAAAAGTTATACATTCCCGTAACATTTTCCAGAGTTCAAAGTAAAGGATTTTTGATTTACATCTGTCTTCATTAAATAATGTGTGTTGTGTCGAATACTAGTAAGTAGTAGTGAACCTACACCGTTGCCAACTTGAATTATTTTATGGCTTCGCACCCGCCATTAACGTCTTTTGTTTGAGAAATTTCTTGCTAATAAATCGATTATTTGACATACAGACTAAACATAATTGCTTTTTGATATGTGTTCGATCGCAACATGTGGTTTTAAGTGAACCCATATCTCTGAAATTGTAGTATTTGTATTCTGAAAACGGTTGTTAATCAGTGTGTTTTTAATAATTGCCGCAATTGAGCCTGGGATTATTGATCGCGGGTTGGTTCATGAATGCATGTTATTCTCGGTAATTGATCATAAATATGTAATAATGTGCTTATATAATTACAAGCTGGTATATTATCATGTACACGGAACGATTTCAGTCGAATTGTTGATCAGGAAAGTGTATTTTTACGGCTCTGAATATTGACCAAAATTCACCATGATGCAATAGCGTGTGATTTCACTCCCATCATCGTCTTCACGACTTGCAATTTACCCTCCGTTGTTTAAGTTTTGAACTAATTGCTAACAAATAGATAATTAGGCATACGGACTAAACATAATTGCTTTTTTTTTTATATGTGTTCGATCGCAACATGCGGTTGTATTCTGAAAACGGCTCGGAATAATAACCAAAATCCATTGTGATGTTTCCTAATTTCAGCATGCCAAAGAAGAAAAAGGGAGTCCAAACTGCTTCAAAGCTTACAAGTTTAATACACCATTCCACACCAGAACAATTAAATTTAAATCAAATAACCAGTTCATTTTTATCAGAGTTAACATTGAATTATAATATAATTTGCACATTACCACTCAAGCTTGTTACCTGTAAGTAATAAAAAAACAGCTAAATTTTCGTTTGAAAGTTTTTATTCAGCTGTGTATACACAATAAGTACAATATACATATAATGTGTGCATGGCAAGTCATGAATAAACATCCATTCACATACTACTGGGCTTTAAGTGGATCCTCGATAAGTATTTGTTTGTCTCTTTTCAAAATAATCTTTAGAATCTTTAGCTTAATTTGACTGAACATGTCAATTTGATATGTTTTTGACCCTTCAAATCTGAAGGAAAATGTTTTTTGACTTATGAAATCGTTCAACTTAAAATTGTAGCCCTGTTCATTGTATATATTATATAAAATCAAGCATCTTGACTTTATTATTAGACATTGGACAATAAACTCTGATATTCTGTGAAAACTTTACAAGTGCTTGTACATGTATACATGTTTGTTATGATATATTTCCCCGAAGTATAGATAACTTAAATGACACAAATGAAATAATTAATTAGTTTAAGTGCATATCTTTTTTTTGTGTTAACCTACAGCAAAATTATATGTTGCATGCTCTTGGTTCCATCTAAGTGTGATTTATATGAAACATGTTCCAACTTTTTCACATAAATAGTAATGATACTTATATACCAATACATTGTATAATTGAGTAACAAAACTGACAACACATCAATTTTGATAGATACTAATCGATTACATATGTGAACCCCAAACTTTAATCTGTATACAAATCTAAATACAAGATACAAGAATTTTTATTTAGAGTCGTGTTTGTAACAATGCAACTTTAGTTCAGAAGAGCTATTCTTACGACTGTATATAACAATCATGATTAATAGAAACAATAAAATATCACAAAGGTAGCATGCATCACAGATGGTTGAATAAAAGGTAAAATAGCACGGAAAGATTAAAGGTCATGCGAACATAAAGCTCATGCAGCATATAAATTAATTTAAGAGACGTTTCAGTGTAATGTACATATATGTCAATATGGCAAAAACTAAAAATTTACAGAATACATGCTAATATAGCATAATCTAAAACAACAATACAGACATTTATGAAACAATATTTAGGAATTTGCAGCATAAAAGAAAAAAATACACAAAAGAAAGTAAAGCAGCACTAAGAACTAAAACTTGTAAATGACAAATATTTCTGGAGCAATAAAACGAGGAATAAGAACCAAAAAAAATCAATCCTTCATCTTTGTACAGATGGAACATGTACAGATGGGACCATCCCAGGTCCGGACCAACCTCCGGAATTCTGGGAAGTATTCACATCTCCGCAATTCATTTGGAAGACTGTTCCACACCCGACTGTTTCATTTCTGCGCATACCGTGTAGTTTTTACAGATGGGATGCTGACTGTGAAGTCCCTTCTGAGATCATAAGCAGATTCCTTTATGTTTACCAAATCAAGTATATAATCAGGAGGAATCTTGTGTAGTATTTTAAAAACTTTACAGCCCATATCTTTTAGCCTCTTAACATGTAAA